AAAAACTTGCTGATCAGACATTCCTTTCGGAAGGAGTCAGTGGACAATGAGATAACATTACATCTCTTAGAGAGAGGCACTTAGGAGTTGTCATACACTCTTACACTGGGGGCTCTCGTGGCCTAGAGGTTAAGGTGTTAGACTCTCATTCAAAGATCCCGAGTTCGAATTCTTCTTCTTTGAATTTTCTTCTCTAAAATTGTCTCCTTTCACCTCATTTCCTGCTCTCTAACAAAGTTGTTGTCTGCTTTCTTATCCACTTTCAGCCCCCACCCCCTCACCTCCTTTGGCCCCTCCTCTGGGCTCCTGGCTCTTTCTGCAGCCTTTCTACTGCTAGATCTACTCCTTTATGTTTAGTTTAGCCGGCAGTCTTCCGGGGTAGAAAGAGACGAGGCGGAGTGTATGCATTTGAATGGCAGTGCTTTGCTGATGTTAAAGTGAGAGTCACTGCATTTTTAATTCACTTCATATATTATGTTTAGTTTAGCCGGCAGTCTTCCAGGGTAAAATAGATGAGGCGGAGTGAATGCATTCTGGAAGGCAGTGCTTTGCTGATGTTTAAGTGCGTGTCACTGAATTTCCACTACACATAAATATTGCATTCACTTTATTACACTACACCACTCTATACACGTGTTAATACTTTTATGTAGGCCTACACCATTGTGGTTGATTCTCCTTCCCATTGAGAGTTGAATTTGGCATTCACATGACTTTGCCCTTTAATCATTTCATGTTAATTAGGTTGGACTCAGTAGTTATGTAGTCCAAGGTGGGGAGTATGTTATAGACACTTGCCCCCCCCCCCCCCCCCAATTAAATTTAGCATCTGGCAACCCGGCTGATAAGGGGAGGTTAATCGTTTTTGTTTTGTTGGGAAAAAAAAAGAAAAGTTTTGCACAAGGAAGGGACTGAGCCAACTTCAGTCACAGTACGGTAATCAATGTAAGCTTTGTTTGAGACTAAATAAATGTTTGTTCCCTGTTAAAAAAGTTATTTTAAATTCTTTTAATTCAAGTCTGAACCTGTGTCGTGCTTGAGTTCCGTAACAGACACAAATATCTTTCCATCAATCTTAACTTCGGAACTTTACTTTTGGTAACATACACGGTTTAGTATTTTTATACATGGAATCATAGTAAAGTAAGAGATCACAAATGCAAAATGTACAGAGCATCCTTGCATCAAAATGTTTTGCCATTATTCTCGCTGTCCTGAAAGAATAGATAACAACTTGCACTACTAAAAGACATAAAATGGTAATAATTTTTGTTTCACAAGATATATTTAGGCACTTCAGTGAAATTTTCAAACTTCTCCGAAGGCATTAAAATTTGGATTATTGAAAAGAGCTTGGCTTTCTGTTTTCAGAGCTTTTTAAATTTTTGCGCTACCTTTGTTAGTTTAGAAGCAGCGACCGTTTTTGTGAATCAATTTTTGCCCTGATTTGGCCAAATTTTTGCACTGCATTTTGTGCCACCAAAACTCGAAATTTTGCTTCACAAAGTCATAAAATCCTTAATAACAGTTGTATCGTGACCATTGAGGTATCATTTTGTTTGCTGTTTTATGTACAATCAATATATAAAAATAAAAGTCAAGTACATTAAGCGTAAAATTCTATTTACCGTTTAATTACGTCATAATCGTGACGTCGGGAGTCCAATGCCTATTATCCCAAAAAAGATACG